CCCCCCATACTCTTACTACAATTAGGATTACAAGAAAGTCTCCCTTCCCCAACCCAACCTCTCAGAGCCTTTCTTGTAGGTGGTTCAAGAGTTCCTCTGAAAGGTTATTCTTTTTTTTTTCTCTGTTCTTTTTGTCTGTCGTTCTCATGTTTTTCCCTGCACGAAATGGGTGTTTTTATGGCCGATGTGTATCTCTAAACTTTGAAAATTCAGTGTGTTTTCATTATTTTTCTGCCCTCCTTCTTTCCTACCAAACATCTATCCTCCTTCTTTTTTGTGTTTGTTACTCTCTTGTAACACCTTTAATCTTAGGCACTTATATGACGTTATTGTATTTCAAGTGCCGTAAAACTCTTACTGATACTAAAACTAAAACATTAATTTTCTGTACTTGTATACAGAATCTGCTGAGTGTGCCCAGCCAGCCGACGCCCCCTTCCCCGGGCGGCGGGCGCTCAAAATCATGGACGGGCAGACCCATCTGGCTGGAGCGAGAATATGCCAACCGCATCAAGGTGCCTCACACCTTTGTGGTCCACAACTACACGCGGCCCACCCAGTGCCAGTGGTGCAAGAGACTCCTCAAGGGCATCATTCGACAGGGCGTGCAGTGCAAAGGTCGGTTGACGGAAACTGAGTCCGATAGTGCCGTAAAGCAAGATGTACTCATATTGTGGGGCAGAATCGGGGCCCGAGAGATGTATTGCGTCCTTTTGAAATAAAAGAACAAGTGAAAAGCTGCTGCGTAGTGTGAGACTCCGCCATACACCATTTTGAAATTTGACGTATGACCGAGTCTTACACCGAGCTGTAGAAATGCTTATTTATAGTTGTGTATTCCCCGGTCTCCCCATCCGCCCACACACTCACACACTCACACACACATACACACACTCACACACACACACACTCACTCACACACACACACACACACACACACACACACACACACACACACACACACACAATGAGTCCAGAAGGCTTACACAATACCTACCCTTGTAGGCCTGTTCTGTCCAAATTACCATTTCGGTCCCCCTCAGGAGACCACAGCCTCTTTCAGGCTGTTAGATGCATGCTTTACATTATTTTACTCCCCAGGCTGTTAGACACAGACTTTCCATGATTTTGTCAATTGCCAAGTTCCCATCTGCAGCTGAGTCAACAGCTGAATGTAGGAAAAACTACACTTCCTGTGAATGCAATGTCCTATTTGATTGAGCCGGAAGGAATAAAACTCACAACTCTTATATTGGAACATCTGACAGCTTGCCACTAGACAAGAACACCCCTTTTTTATCATGATTTTTTTGGTAAACTTAAGTCACAGGTCTGATTAAAAATAATTCCTTTAATGAATGAATAAAAAGTTATAGTTAGCTCACTTTCATAAAATTCAATAAAATGTGGCCACTTGTTAATAATAAAATACAAATATTATATTGTCTTAAAGGCACTTTGTGTTGGACGTAAAGGTCCTAAGCTTTTTGTAATTCAGATGAAAATAACCATAGAGATTGTTTCACTGTTTTACAACATATTGTCGGGATTAATGAGAAGAAAAGTTCACTGATCGAGTCCATAAGACTGAAGAGTTTCTCATCATTACACACTGCTAAATTTGGTTTTGAGATATCGGTTTAGCTCATTTATTAGATTAGTAGTCAGTTGCATGAGTCAATGTTATTATAGGAATTAAAAGTCTGGGATTGTATTCATAATCCATTTAGTTTTATCTACAGATGACGCAGTTAATTATGAATCAAAATTTGTATTTCATCCTTAGATTAGATATTTATGGAGACCTTTTTTTGTTTTAGTAAGTTTTACGGAACATGCAACTCATTAGGTCATATAAGAACCGAAGATTAGAGGTGTTATAAGAGAGTAACAAATACAAAAAAGGAGGAGAGATAAGGACAATAGACGTTTGAAAGGAAATCTAGCATCAGAGCACCTGCCAACCACCCTCAAAGAGGCCTTGATTTCTCTATAACCCTTCCAACCCCAGCCATTTTTGTGCACTCCCTGACCCCAGTCCCAGCCAATACAGCGGTATTTCAGAGAAAGAAGCATGCATTCTAAAAAATGATGTAGTATCTTTGTAATGAGGTTTAGGCTATAACATATAACAATGTTTAAAGATAAATGAACAAATATGAAAATTAAAGTTTAATTAGATTTGCTAATTTCGAAAAATGCGCAAATTCGGTACCCCCCGAAACTGAGAATATGCGCTCTTGGGATGGTGGGGGGTACAAACACTGCTGAAAATATATGCGCATGGGGCTGGAAGGGTAAAAGAGAAGCTAAAAAACATCATAAAATTCACTAAGGCCAATAGATAATATCACTTTAATGTAGTATTAGTTAGAGCTACATATTTGTGTTTTGTTTTAGAAAGATTAGGTCTGTAGCTAAGCTCCTGAGGTTTGACTGAAAGACTGAAAAAGAAAATGACGGAATATTTAATGGTCTGTGTGAGAGAGGAATTTTTTTATAATCTTCAGTTAATGTGGGTTTTTTTTCATTTTTATATAAACCAGTTGTGGCTAAAGTGTTTCCAGTACAGCCAGTGTGAAAGAGCATACCTATAAGTTTGCATATCATCGGGGTTAAGCTAACTGACTACTTTGCTTTCTGTTGTCTCTTACCTCTACTAAAACAAAACAACCATCAGTATACTTTTATTAAAGCATTAACAGCAGGATAATCAACTCCACCCCCCCCCCTCCATGCGCTTTTTACATATTTTATTCTTTTAATGTCGTTCATCTATTTATTGTCCGTTGCCTTTAATTGTTTTTTCTGCAGGATCTATCTTGCCTTTTTTTTTGTAATGTTGTCCCTCGGAATGTTCACAGATTGCAAGTTCAACTGCCACAGGAAGTGTGCCCCCTTGGTGCCCAATGACTGTGCTGGAGAACTGCCGTACGACGGCGGGGAAGGTGAGCTGCTCACAACAACATTATTTCTCTGCCCCTGCATAGCAGTTCTTAAATCCCAGCATCTTTACTCCCCTTTTTACCCCCTCTGTCCTTTCTGGTAATTTATATCATTAACACTGTGAGACCTAGTATTTTGTTGCCAGGAGCTGCATAACATGCAGGAGCTAAAAGATTTTGTGAGGTAATGGTGGTCAGGAGGATGGGGTTTCCATTTTCTTCATTAAAGAACATATTGTGCAGTGAGTTCGGTTTCACAAAGTTTGGCCTCCATTAGCCTCAGAAACAGCTGAGCATTTGCAAAATTGCTCTGTGACGATTTTAGCTTTCAAATTGCTCTGTAAATGCTTAAAAGTTTGAAGTGTTTTCCAAAATGAAGGAGGATGGAAACTGCTAAAAATTTATAGTACAGGCAAGCTGGAAAGAGTGTCTGCAAGATAAGCTCTGTTCGAAAATGTGACCACAAAAGACGTAATGTTGCCGAGAATATGGTTGATTAGGTGACAAAAGTCCCCCCCCCCCCTTCAGTTTTCCACTGTGTCCCAGAATCCTTTGTTTCAGTTGTGTCCCTCCCTCCTAAGGTACTGTTTTGCCTGCAGAGTGACCTTTAAGCCCTCGGTGCCCTTATAGTGACCCTGAACGGGGGGGGGGGGGGGGTGCATAAGGACGTTACCTGAGCTTGCTGGACAGCTTTACCTCAAGGGTTATTAATGGGCATAATAGAAGCATTTTTATCCGAATGTAACCATCAGCTTCTTTTCATGTGTGGGACGTCGTAGATTTCAGGTGCAACGCACAGGTTAGTAATAATATGAGGGGGTTTTTTTTAAGCAAATTTGAAAGTAAAAGTGTACTTTTAGACCGTCCACAATATATCAAAGGGAACTGTTTATGAGATAATTTATATGTTATTAATTTTTTGGGGGGGTAGTTTTCCTGTTACGAGGTGTGCATTATTTTCAGTTGCTTTTCCTTTTAGTCTGCTAAGGGTAATGGACTGATTTCATGAAAAATTCAGAGTGTTTTTTGGTCAAGTTGCACTGCAAGTGAGGGGCACAAACCTGAAGGATCTATGTCAGTTTCTGAAGAGAAAGATGTGATTGTATCACTGCTTGGAAAGCTTAAGAGGTTTGTTAGTTTAAAGCTTTTGTCGTTGATATTTTCCCCTCATGCTGGCCACCAGGAGACCTATTAGCTGATGGCTCTTCGTTTTGTAGCACATTATTGTGCAATTTTTGAAAAAAATTTGAGGATGTGAGGTGTAGTCTTGGGAGTATACAGAGAAAACTAGTGGCTGTTCGGAGTTGCAATTGTTAACTTGAATTATCAGCTGAGACAACTTTTAAGAAAGCCGTTTTGCTTTTCATGCAAATCTTGATAAAGTCATAAATATAATGAGAAAAAAGGCTTAGTGTGTGACTTTTTTAACAGCAGAAGTAAGGCGTATTATAATGTGCGTTGTACTTGTATTCATGCAGAACAAATAGGTGGTTCAGTTGACCTTAATGTGACAGCAGACTGAAAAGATAAGCTAACTTTTGTTTCAATGAATAGTTCATTACAGATTTCCCCTTGTCAGAAAAAAAAAGGGAGGGGGGGATACAGTAGTAAGATTGGAGACCCCAACTTTGTGAAACCCACCACTTTCCTAGCTGGCATGTGGCTCTAGGTAACACACTAAGCTTCGCCTCTTTGCTTATGCTAGGATAACATTTAACAAGGGTATAAGGTTTATAACCTCTGCTCAGTCTTTATCTTTTTTTCTCCTCCAGATGTTTTGAAATACGATAATGGTGCTCTTGTAGATCTCTTTTTATAGATATTAACCATTTTATCTCCTCTAATGTACTTAATTTTTTTTAAAATACTGGACCAATGTAAAATTCCATCAAACCATGTCTGTACTCACTTTAAAAATATGTATATATATATAACCTTGCATGATTTATTACATGCTTTGTGACTAAAGTAATGACATATACGTTCCTAGTCTTGTTCAGGATCATGTGAGCAGCTGACAGCTGAGGTAGATATGAGGAGATAAACACTTCACAGATTCTTTTAATTTCATACTTTAAAATATACAGCATATAAAAGCTGAAGTCTGTGATTTTTTTTAAAATCATTCTCACATCTTACAAACACATAAGATATGCTGATGAAATACTGTACACCAGAGCAGTTTAACTGATTCAGTGATTATCTTAATATTGATTGAAAAGATTCATGTTGTTTCATTAAAAAATTGATGGTTCAAATATTTTTCATACGAATAGCATTTCTGTTCTGAAGGAATTTTACTGTTTATTATGAAGATTAGTGGAACGCACGTTCTTTCCTGTAACAAAATGAATTAAGTATTACAACCTTTAGTTACAATTTGAAGTACTTTTATCAAACTGTAAAATTCAAATTTTCATAGAGACTTTTGAAAGAAGCTTGTACCACTTTTTGTCTTTTGGTTTCTAAAGATTTGTTTAGTGTCCAGGATCTTTTGGAATCTGAAGGTACATACGTCACAGACAGTGGAAAAAGATGTAACAATTCTCAGAGAGTGGTTTGCTTTGTTTTCCACAACTCCTAAAGAATAATCCATAGTTTAACACAGTTTGTGCTTATCGTTATTCCTTCTACCTTGGGTTTCACTATGTACTTAATCTTATACTTTTTTGAGATGTGTAGTATTAATGAAATTATTTTGCTTTTAGATAAAAAGAAGTTTTTTGAAGATCTATTGGTATTTTATTAATGTACATGTTTATGTCTGCTTTGATGTTTAAATCAGAAGCTTTATGTAATGTCTGGGTAATAGTTGGAGAGTAAGGGAGTGTGGGTGGGAGCCTTAGATTGTGTGTTGTGCAGAGATGAGCTCTGTGCTGTCTTGTGCCTGTTCACACATGTCTGTTGCTTCCGTCTCTGCCTGTATGTCTCTGTGAAGTTGACCATTTAACATTGCACGATATTAATAATTCTAATCTTACTACTGTATCAACCCAGGATACCTTCTTAAACATATAGCCCCCACCCCCCTTCCTTCCTCCCCCCCCCCCCCCATCTTCTGATTTTACTCTCTCAGAAAAATAGCTTCTGGATATTTAGGTATTCAAAGGAGAATTGCTTACAATTTTTTTTGTGATGCCCCCACTTCCTTATGGTGTTTGGGTTTCACTCCAACTTTTCCAAATGTATTGGCATTGTTGTTAGTCTGTTGCAGTTCTCTAAAATTTGCTGGCAGAAGTGCCGCATGGTTCAGTCCAGTCGGTACCCAGTCAATGGTTTGATACTACAGGTTTTCAGTCCTCTCTCTTCTATCTCTGTACAATTATAATAACTTGTTTGTGGTCTCCTCATTATCTTAAACCAACTTTTAGATATTTCATATGAGCTGTCTTTTGGGGTATAGAGGAGAGGGTTAACTCGACTTTAAGACATTTAATTTAGAAATCAACCAAAGTGATTTCTCTGATCAGAGTAAGATCCATAAAAGAAACAAGTTGATAAATGAAATAAATAAAAAGAAATGGGAAATAGGGACTCTTATGAGCAGCCAAGAAACTCATGCTGAGACCCCAAGTGTGAAAAGGTTATATATAACCTATGTTTTAACTGCCTCATCAGATGGTGAACCCACAGAATATCGACCTTCTCACAGGAATAGCTTTGTTGTTTTATGATTTGGTCAATCATGCTGCTCTTTCTGTCTGTACAGCTTTTTCCCCATACACTAGTGACCTTTATCGAGTCAATGCGCTTCTCTTTACTCAAGAGTCTCTGAACTCAACACAACCTCATCTCTCTGACTATGACGATGAGAATTGTCCCTGTTCTGTTCAGACCAACTCCTTTTTTTTAGTCAACCCATATATTTCAGTTGAACACACAGGCTTCTGTGATGAGTTCTGTATTATCATCTTGGTTTTCATCCTTGTGTTCATAGTGCTAGTTTTTTTAGTGGCACACTATAGAACTAGTTTATATGCCTCCCATTCATTCATTCCTGATTATTATCAAGACATTTTAACCATTTCGATTGATAATCTCACTTTTCCTGTAGATTCACCTTATCACATAAATGTGTATGTCCTGGGTTGATTTGAAAGCACATTCTAGTTCTAGAATAGAATTTCTGCAAATTACAACTGCCCTGAGCTACTCTAACCAGTGTGAAATAGTTTTCATGAAGATTAATCCTGGTCCTACTTAATGTTTGAAAAATGTGTGTTGGTTACCAAACTGTGTACAGCATCTGTGGTGTAGCGGTTAGGAGCTTTGCTGTCACATGCAGGAGACTCAAGTTGGATTCCTGAGTGTGGAGAATTTTTATCAAGTAACTGGGTCTCTCTGCTGGGATGTTGTATCCCCCTCAGCCGAAAAGGCCTAGCTCTCAGCCCAAGCTGGCCTTGACAGGCAGGGTCAGAAGCCTGCCTCCTACATGATCTATATTGTGTCAATTGGTGGGTGGGGGGGGGTGTATGTAAAAACTCCTACATTTAATTTTACTTAAACTGTATACCAGCTCCTGAAAAAAAGCTTTGCTTATGCTCATTTGCCCTGCTAATTCTTTTAACACCTGGTGTAGGTAACCACCACTCGGCCTCACCACGGCCTCCCCTCTACCCCTCTAATATTCTCACCCTGCTCTCAGTTTCGGTCTGGTGCATCAGGTAAACTTCACCGTTTACAATATCAGTTTAACGATTCAAAACTTCATTTTATACAAAATTCACTCAATTTTTAAAACTTTCACTAGTACCATAGTTTTATCTATTTATTTCTCAAATGAAAAAGGAATCTGAAATTGATGTAGGCTTCTTAAATGAGTTTGTTTTGTACTGTAAATAATTTATACATTAAGATTCAAGACAAATTCTTTTTCGTATTTGATAATAATATGTAGTATGGAGTTAACTTTGCTTAGATTTATACTAAAGTATCATATTTTAGTGTAAAATTTTATCAAGTATGAATGGTACGAGTGTGTTTAAGAAGCCCTTAAATACCAAATCATTCGTCTAAGCAAAGTAAATAATTCTTTCATCGTTAAATTAGAGTACCGGATACTTTCTTAATGGAGCTAATCTTTGTAAAAAATCTGGTCTGTACAGACTTACGGTCTGCCAGTTGGTTAGAAGTTTTAGAAAGTGCAATGTTACTTCGATGGACTTCACAGTAAAACGTTTGTTCTTTTTGTTCCCATCTGTGTTGCGTGTGCGTCGGTCGATGTTTGTTTTGCATCTGTGTCTCTCGTGCGTTGGTGCTCGTCCTGGTGGTGGTGGTGGTGGTTTGGACATCCAGCCCTATCAGAATCTCTTGACCACGCAGAAACGGATGACGTCTCAGACAACTTCTCAGACAACTTCTCGGACCTGACGGAGGTGACCGACGATGGCGCGCCGGCCGTGGACGATGTGGAGGACAATGAGGAACTGGAGAACAAGCCCCCGCTGAGGTAGGTCTTTTGTGTGTGTGTGTGTGTGTGTGTGTGTGTGGAAGGGTGTTTGTGTGTGTGTGTGTGTGTGACAGTGTGTGTGAGGTATGTGTAAGGGTGTGTGTGTGTGTTTGGAAGGATGTGTGTGGAAGGGTGTATGAAAGGGTATGTGTGTGCGTATGTGTGGAAGGGTGTGTGTGTGTGTGGAAGGGTTATGAAAGGGTGTGTGTGTTTATATACTCATTTCCAGAAGAAACTTGACATAAAGAATATTGTTAAATAAAAAATGAACCATAGCAGACACAGACAGAAGATTTTACATCTAAAAAGAAAAAGCATTTCTGAATTTGAAAACCTGTCTTTTTTAATGCACATAAAACACACCTGGTGCTTCAAGCCCCACCTGAAGTGATAGGGTCAAAATTTTAGAAATAAGTAAATGTGCATTTTTCCAACAAGAAACTTTGCACTGACATATTAATCCTAAATTATGGTTTTCGAAACGTACGATAGCAAAGCACACTGGTACTGGTCAAATCAAAAGCATTTCAGGTAATGCCTGAAAGTTAGGCAGGATTAATATCGTGTGTGACCGCCGCCTGCAGCAATGACGGCATCTGCACCTCATAGAGTTGACGATGTTGGAAATTTGATGTTGTGGGTTAGCGTTCCAAGCGTTGGTTAGGCTTTGAATCAACTGAGCGTTACTCTGAGAAACGGGATTCATCTGTTGGATTTGAGGCCCGGGAATATCCCACACATGTTCAATCGGGTTCATGTCGGGTGATACTGCTGACCAGGGATGGATGAAACCGAATTGTTGTTGTGCGAGGTAAGCTTGTGTCACCCTGGCACAATGGGCTCGGGCGTTGTCCTGTTGTAAGATGTAGCTTGGATGGTTCTGCACAAACAGTGCCACATGTGACTGCAAGATGGTGGCTACCTACGTAGTTGGCGCCATTCAGTGCTAACGGAACATGCCGTCCAGTGGTCTGTTGTGATTCCACCCCAGACCCTCACCTGCCCATATCCCCTGTTAGGGATTTCATGTACTCACTGGTCAGCAAACCTTTCATTTCGAAGGCGATATACCTGCATTCGATCATCGTAGCGACATAGGTCAAATCTAGACTCATCCATGAAAAGGACCTGAGACGAATAACCGTCTGTGTGCTCACTGGTTGGTGTTGCGGGAGGGTTCTGGCTGTATGCAAAGTAGACTGGAACCTGTCCCTCAGGTGGGTTGTGCGGATATACCGATCCTGTGCCGGGGTGGTAAACCGCGGCCTCCCTAAGCTGATCTTGGCCGGTCTCTGGTACTTCCTGTGTTCATGTACCTGGTCTGCAGGTTGTAGATGGTTTCCCTGCTACAATTGAAAATCCTTGCGACATCCACCACGGGAACGCCTGCTTCGAGATGCCCTATAGCGCGCCCTCGCTCATCTGCACTGAGACGCGGCATGATTGAAAGTTGACATTTTTCTAGATTTCTGAAGCTGGCAGTTCAAATGCAAACAATGTTTTCATAAACGTTTTACACTCCTTTTGCATGTTTTGAAATAAGCTACACATTGATAGCAAAGACTTCACAGAAAACTCACGCTTAA